ATGTTGGTGAAATATCATATCCTTTCTTTGTGGGCAAAAGATAGGCCTCTTTTCATTCAATACATCTCGTGAGCCAAAGCTCATCAAGATTCTTAAAGTTTTAAGTATGTATATCTTTTGATATTGCCTGTTTGTATGTATACGTTTTATTTAATTCGAGTCAATAACAATAAAGAGATTGAAAAGAGAACAAGATAGACGTACTTGAAAATATGTTTTTTATTCATTAATTAATGAGAGTACAAAATAAGTAGATTCGACAGCATGAATCTCTTAGTCTATCATTAAAAAAAATAAAAAAATAAAAACAAAAAAACAAAACAAGACCTAGGGTGCTACATCTTGAATTGTTGACAACTTCTTGAGATTGCGTCTTCGAGCTTTGTCCTTTTCCGATGTAGGTGAAATCCTCTCTAAAAATCAAGTCTATCTACATGATTCATGTTTTCATTTATCAAGTCCCTTTCAATTAATGTTCCCACGGTATAGAATTTTTGAAATGTGTCTAAACCAAGGTATTGTAAATGGTACTTGTATGGTTGAGACATATTGTCTATGAACTTTGGGACAAGTTCATGATTCGGAGGTCTTTGTGAAATAAGAGCAACCTTTGATCGGGCAACTTGGAAAAGAAGTCAATGAAGCCTTCTTCTTCCCCTTGCTTAAGCAATTCTAAGCAATTCGAGATTGCGCAAGGTAGTTGTGAGCTCGATGTTATCTCCATATTGGGTTAAAAACGCTTTAACAACGTCACTTCAAATGGAAGTTTGTTTTGCATCGAGGTTATAAATCCATGATCTAGCAGTTGGGTCCAATGAAAGAGGAAAAGTACATGCATATAGGCTTGACTCAACCCCTTTCAATGCCATAATTCTAATAAAGCTTATTAAGTGAGTCCTAAGATTGTCTGTAACCTTAAAGGTTGGCAAATCCATAGTCAATAACTTTTCTGGGAGAGTCTTGCCACTAGGTTGTGGTGCAAGCTCATAATTGAAGTACTTATTCCCTGAGTTAGCGAAGGACAAGTTTCTCCAATGCCTCTACTCTTTGGTCTCTTGCTTTTTCTTGTAGAGTGTTTTATTTTTCTTTTACTTTTTCAGCATTTATTTTAGCCTTTTTTTGCTTATTTATGAGCCTTCATTTGGGCTTCTTCTTCTCGTAGGGCCTTTAGGTTTTAGAGTTCCTCTCTAAGTTTCTCTAATGTTGCTTTGTCACCCATGATTGGACTAGTATGTGAATGTGGAAGATGATCTAGTAATGTGTATCACGAGAAATTGAGCGCGTTCACTTAAGCCTTTTCTGCCAAGCATTCAAACAATGAATCAAAGTCAAAATGATTGTTTTATTTCTTTGTTTTTTTTTAAATCCTTCTAATATGAATTCACTTTAAGAAAGTTTGTTGATGAAGAATGTCAAAAAATTCACGAACAATCATTAATGGAATGTCATGATTTGTGTTGACTTCAACAAGATAATCATCTAAGGATTTTACTTTAAATGAATTGTTTTCGAAAAAGGTAGAAGAGAAAGACAAGAAAGTTGAATTTAAAATGCTCATCAAATTTTTAGGGATATTAATCAACCGAACATACTCCTTTAAATGATCAAATATACTATGGTACTTTTTAATCATTTAGATTGCAATAGAGATCTATATCATTTTTTTTTCAACTATGATTCTCATATTGCTCATCTTAAAAGGTAAATAATATAACTATTTGCTTAAACAAAATGATGGCCTCCGAATGTAAAATCCAAGAAATTATTAAATCATTTTCTCGGTTTTATCATTCATTATCTCCTTTTTTTTTAGAATAATATATTTTTTTTGTATCATTTTTGTAAGAATGATTTTTCTTTTTTTTATTTTGAACTATTTCTCTCTCTCTCTCTCTTTTTTTTTTTTTTTTTGAGGCAAACATCCCAAGTAAGGTTCTCGGGATTTTCTTTTTAAACCATAGAAGAGGTAAATAAATTATACTCTTAAATCAATGTTGATCAATTACAACTAAAACATGATAAACATGAAAGTAGGCACGTTTAAGAATAAACATATTGATGACGTCCTATTAAGGGATGCGAACTTCTAATGACGAACCTCATAATAAGTAATGTCATTAGTTCGATTATAAAGTATGTAAACGAATCATTATAATAAAAAATAGTATCAGCGTAATTTTCCATCTTGCACTAAAGTGGAAAGTGCATCTTTAGGAGTAGCATCTACCACATGCGTTTTTTTTTTTTTTTTTTTTTTTTTTTTTTTTTTTTTTTTTGCAAAAACGCAAAAAGAAGAATTAAAAAATATTTATTTGATTTTTTTGAAAACGCAAAAAGTTCGATAAAAAAAATTCGATATTTTATTTTTTGATAAAATACATTTTTACGGTTTTTTTTTTTTAAAAAAAAAAAAAAACGACAATCAAAGTAAAGGTAGCTAAGTTAGACAACATTGTTGACCAAAGAGATATTTTTATCACCTACTTAACGATTAACCTTGAAGCAGTAATATCGTTTGCTCCGTATAATATTGCTCGTAACGAGTCAAAGTCAACGTTGAACAGTGGGTGCGCGCAAGACACAGAGTTGCGCGGAGGTGCCGCGCGCAACTTCTGAACTTTCGCTTAGAGGGCGCGCGTAACTTTGACAGTTGCGCGTGCCACCTAGTAGGTTCGACAACTTTTTAGTTATTTTGTTTTTTTTTTGTCAAACCATAATTTTTGCGAATTTTTTTTTATTTATTATTATTATATCTCTAGGTAACAAGTTGGAATTAGATAGATTAGGCACGAAGCACATATTCATGTAGTCACATAAGCACATAAAAGGAACCATGTCATTCTAAGGGTCAAGGCTTGGGTGTCCAAAGGTACCATAATCTTGAGGGACGATGCACGAATCAATCACTCTACGTGTTGACCCATAACATAGCCCTCTCAACATTTTGTTGGCGATATGGGTGGGATGATTGTTATTGATTTTGGGATAGAAGCCTAGTGTTGGCTACCCCTGTTCAACGAGCTAATCTCCAATGGTTAAAGTGTGCTATGATTATGCATGATGCAATGTTGCTTGTTTGATTTTTACTTTTGTGAAAAAGGAAGATATTATGCGTCCGAGTCATGCTCTCTAACTAGAGATTATCCAAGTTAGTTCTCGTTACAACCCATAGGCAACCTAATGTTGGAAACCCTGGATCATAACTAAGAACTAATCTTGTAACCTATAAGTCCCCGGTAAGGAGGGTGTTCCCATCGTAGGGGATCCTTCTCCTTAGATGCCCATGGCCCTTTAAAAGCCTAGGACTTTACACTTGTTAGGGTGTATTAGGATTTTAATTCCTGACTGTGTTGGGAGACCTTGAATTAGAAATGATACTCTCATCACGCTTTTTTGTAAAAAACAAGTAGGAGTCGCCAATGAGTTTTGGGAAAACTCAAAAACCTCGTTCATGTCTTTCTCCCAAGTAGAGTTCAAGGGATAATTAGCACGAATCGTAAGTTTACCATGCCCAAATTGGTCTACATAAACCAAAAATGAGTTCGAGAGCGAGGGTACTAAGATAACGTTCTCTTTAGAGGGGAATCGCTATCTTATCCCTAGTACAGCCTATACAAGCTCTTCCTTTTTCACAATCTCATTACCAAACAATATATACAACGTGATGCCTAAAAACTAAGTTAGTTGATTTTATTTACAAGAATTAATCACGTAGGAATTACATTGCAAAATTCGTTATTCTTTGTTTAATCAATATTCGTGAAAAGAACAAATAAACAATATTCGCATTGTTTTAAGTGATAAAACAACAATTAATTATCAAATTCTAGTCTTGATTAACGAAAGAATACTATGTGAATTAATTAATTAAAAGTTTGCTTAAAGTGATCAAATAACACTAATTAATCAATTAAAGTTATTTAAACAATAAAAGAAAAGTGATTTATCTATGTGTCGGGAAACTAACCGTTCTTATTTTATGTTAAATCTTCGTTTACGTTTATGGACTTTCTTTCTCCTTCATCCTCCAAGGACCTCAATGGATTCAATTAGGGTTGGAAAGTATTTTGTAAGAGAGAAGAAAAGTAGTATGATAGTAAGAGAAGTGACAGATTAGGGTTTTGAGAATGCTAAGGTTTTAATTCTGATTTTTCGGTCCTCGTAATGCTGAACGAAGAACCCTATTTATAGGCGTAGGGATCTAGGTTTAGGTTTTTAGAGCCGCGCCGTCAGGTGGTGCGTGCAACCCTCTGAGTCGCGCTGTGTGCCGCGCACATCTTAATGAGTCGTGAGCGCTAGGCATACGCAACTTACTGAGTTGCGCTGGGATGCAGTTTGCCTTATACGAAAACACATTTTTAAAACTTCCATAACTTTTGATTGAAAAGTCAGATTTAGGCGTGTGAGATATCACTGGAAAGCTATGAATGTCTAATTTCCAATTCCGTTGGAATTAGGTTAAAATATGTAATGTATCAAAATATATGACCGTTGGAGTGCAAAGGTGTCGGTTTTAGGGCCCGTTTTAGTGTATTGATCATAACTTCTTCGTTTTAACTCGGAATTGGGCTTATAATACACCGTTGGAAAGATCTTTGAAAGGGTTATCCATCTGTATAATCCAGGAACGGAAATATGATGCTTGTTTTATCTGTTGGCTCGGTTTTCAGAAATGTAAAATCCATTGGATCGAGTCATTGCATTTGCCGCATTTGGGTCAGTTATTAATCATGTTTAAACATGTATGAGCACTTTTTAGGCCTAATTAGTAATTGGACAAGGCTCTAAGATTACTTGGTCTCAAATATGAGTTTTAACTTACTTCATAATTCATTTCAAAGTCCATAAACACTTCAACTTTGATCTAACATGAAAATTTGATTTTTGTAACATCATCGCACTTCCTTTCGGGACAAGAGGCAAAAAGTAGGTGTCTACATTTGGAGTTATTTGGCTTCTTCTGCTTTTTGAGATTTCATATAAGCCATGAACTGATTGTACTATTCCACAGAGACATCATCAGCATTGTTATTTTCAACAACATCATATTCCTGTTCATTGTAACTAACTAAAGCCACTCCTTTTTCCTTGAAACCTTTGAAGCTAGGAGGAAAACCATACAACTTCAAGCACCTGTCAATACTATTTCTTGGTATCTCACAATGAGTGCAATAAAACTTCAAACCAGGCTTGACAAATTTCTGAGTACCACCAAATGACTTAGGCTGAGATAAAGTATTCTGCTGATACTGGTAGAGCAGAGATTTATAAGATTGAATCCTATAACCCTTGTTCATGCTAGCTGCACCTCCACCAAAATATCCTGGGGTATTTCCTCCAAAACTAGAAAACCTCTTTTTATCAGCAAAAAAAGCCATAGATTCAGAATTGCTACTCATATGAGAGATCTCTTTGTGCTTCTTCTCCTGAGAAAACATCCTATAAGCCTTTATGACTTCAGGTAAAGCAGGCATCATCAACATATTACCTCTCACAGTTGCAAACTTATCAAACAGTTTCATCATAAATTGAATCTCCATTTTCTGCTGGTGTCGTTCAAAAATTTTCTTCCTCAAATTGCAGGTATAGTTATTGCAAGTGCAATAAGGTAAAGGATGCGCTTCATCAATTGCATCCCACACAGACTTAATAGAAGTAAATAATTTAGAAACAGATTGAGTTCTTTGAGAAATATTAGTCAATTTCTGTTCAAATGCATAGATCTGAGCTAATGAAGTATAGCTAAACCTCTCTTCAAGATCTAGCCAAATTGCCTTAGCTGACCTCAGAAACATGACACTACTAGCAATGCACTCATTAACATTGAATAAGATCCAGGAACATACTAGATCATTGCACCTCTCCCAAGCTTTACCCTCAGCAGACAAGTTATCAGCAAGCTTATCATAATCTCCATTGACAAAGCCGATCTTATTCTTTGCGGAAAGTGTTAGCAGCATTGCTCTCTTTTAGCTAGTAAAACCTTCTCCATTGAATTTGAACGACACTAATTGAGCAACATTAGCATCTGATGGATGTATATAGTATATGCTTGCAGGATTTTGATTCAGAGGTAAGAAAGCAAAATTATGAACAGTTTCAGCAGCCATTACAACAAAGTTCCAGAAAATCAACAAGAATTTTGATCGGAGAAATTTGAAGAATTCATAGAGAATTCAGCAAATCAGGAAGAAAAAACAGAAAAATCCACGAATTAATCAAAGAAATGCAGCTAGAACGAATCAGCAGAAAAAACTGGAAAATCAAGAAGAAATTGGTCGAAAAAAATTAAAGATGATCGAATTTTCAGCTCTGATACCATGTTATGAAACAGAGAAAAGGCTAAATAGAATCAGAGTTTTTTTTATTATAGTGAATAATGAAATATTACAGCTTAGGAGATATATATAACATCTATTACAAGCAGAATAATCTAGAAGAAATCTCTAACAAACTTTCTGAGAGCTGTAACAAACTTTGTCCTAGCTGGCATAATGTAACAAAATTGAGTGACGTGGAAAAAGGCTCTAACTGCCTTTCTAAGTTACACACAAAGCCTCAATAAATTTTAAGTTCGAAATATAAATTACTCCCTCTAATTTTATCCAAATTTATTTGACCAAACAAATTTAGTAAAGAGTCAACAATCAAATAACCAAGAAATCAATACAAACAAATAGCCAGACTTGTCAAGAGATCAACAAACACCCAATTGTCGTAGGTCGTGATAATTTTTACAACGACAACAATTGTGGACGATTATTGTTAAAATTTCTTAATCTTAAAATACGTAGTAATAAAATTCCGGAGGGAGTAAGGGTTTGCTCTATTCAGTTTAATTTTAGTTTAGTTTATCTTAATTCAGTTTAGTTCAGTTCATAATTTCCTTTTCTTATAAATAATTCATTTTATCTATATTCATTTCAGTTATTAGTTCAATTCAGTTCAATTGTATTTAGTTTTCCCTCCATGTTTTTTTTAAGTGTTACCCTTACCAAATCCGATCGTGTTTTAATAAGTATTTACACTCCTTATTTTTGGAAAAAACTACATTAAAATATTATCTCTCTCTCATTTCATGGTCCTCACCCAAACCTATATACTACCTCCGTTAAATGTTATGTGCAACTTTTGCCATTTCGGGATGTTTTCTATTATGTGCAACTTTCAGATTTATTCCTATTTTTAGTAAGGAAAAAGTTATGGAATTACCTTTTTACCCTTACATAACTCATTTTTTTTAATCTTTTCCCTTACTCTAATCTAATCATATTCACTTAATTTAATCAGATCACCTAATTCTAATGACTCCCTCCATTTATTACCCCCAATTCCCCCCAACTCTCTCATTTACTCACATTCCCAACCACCTTCAATTAATGATGATTGTTGAACTTCTCTATTTGTTCTGGAGAATTCTCCATATGAACCCTAGTTCATCATCTGGGGTTTTCTCTCTCCTATGTTCTTCGATTTCCCACTTTTCCTCTCTCCAGATATGCACTTCCTCTCTCCTCTTTTCTTCGATTTCCCACTTCCTCTCTCCTTCGATCTTTTTGAAATACTACTCCCTCCTCAAATATGCCCAACCTTGATCCTTTGAAGGATGCGCACATGGCAACCAATGACAAAGGAGAGGAGAATCTGATCCTCCATCTCATCCATTGCTTCGAGACTGGATCTTCCTTCCCTCGTGAGTTCTATGAGTCAAGTGAAACGGGTCCCTACTGTACCTTGTATACCTACAGGGCTCTGGGTCAAGTCCTTAAAAGCATTGATAAGGAAGAAAGGAAGAAGAGGGAGGAAGGTATGGGTGAGTCCCGTCGGAAATCTCTTGATTTCTCTGAGGCTCCTCTAGATCTGGGGGCTGAGAGTGCAGAGGGGAGTGCTGTGGGCGCGACTAAGCCCAGATCTAAGAGGGAACGGCCACCACCAAAGGTGCGTTCTTCGAGGAAGGCGGCGCGTGTGGCTTTGCATAGGATGTGTGGGCTCCCTAACAATGAGTACATCGTTTTGTCTTCTGATGAGGAGGGTGATGAGGATCCACCATCCAAGAAACCTGAGGCTGCCTCTTCCTCTGTCCTTGTTGTGCAATGCTTCGTGAGGCGGATGAACCCTAGGGTTCAACCCTCTGAGTGACTGCTCTCGTAACGATTCCTAACCCTAATTATTTCTTTAATTTATTTGAGTCCCTATTTATTGATGGATCTGTTTGATTGTGTGTTGGTTATATTGTGGTTGTTGAAGTCCCAATTTATTGATTGATTTATGGTGTTAAATGTTGTTGTCTGTTGTTTGTTGATAGACTGTGGATTATTTGTTGAATATGGTTATTTTTGGCTGAATAATTCTTGTTGGAGTATTGACTGTTGGTGTCTGATGGGTTATTTTTGGCTGAATATGGTTGTGGGTGTTGATGGGTGACTGAATAATTATTGTTGGAGTATTGTTGGCTAATGTGATGTGTAACTGTTGGATTTATTGTTGTTTTGGTTTCTGGTTGATTATTGATTGTTGGTGTCTAATGGGTTATGGACATAATGCTGCCTCTTATGTATGGTTTTATTTTTTTGTGAACACCATGTTAGAAGTAGTGTTGGCCTATAAAGGAATATGGTTGATGAATGATGAGGCTATTTTGGCTTGTTTGTTGCATATAATGTTCTCAATGACCTATTGTGGAAGAGAACACCCTGTTTTTTAGTCCCTCATTGTTGCCTTTGTAGTGCTCAGTGTAGAGTCCCTTTCTTATTATGAGTATGTTGTTATTGTGTAATCCAAATGATGAAGGGACTCCATTGAATTTCAATTTGAACAACTATGTAGCTCCATCATTCACAATTTTGTGAGTGATGTTGAGGTAACCTTGTTTGAGTTGTTGTATTCATCAAACTTATGAACTTCTGATGGTATTTTTGACTTCACATTATAACCATTTTCATGCCATTCAAAATGTGGCTACAAAAAGCCTATTACATGAGTACTTGGACTTTCACATCACTGCCTTAGTGGTATATGACACTCTAACACACAAAATACACCTAACCACCTTCATTTAGATTGCAAAACAAAAAAAAAAAAAAAAAAAAAAAAAAAAAAAAAACATATATACTTCTGATAGTTATGTGTGGCAGTATATGTTGTTGTCCTGATTTGATTTGATGAGTCCCCTTGTCTAATCTGCATCCACCTCCATTTCCTGTGCTGTTGCATGAGTCTCTTCTGGTGCTGGTCTGAACACTGTGTTCAAGTACTCTACAGCCTATTGCACTATCTCTTTGTCAACAAACACTTGGTTGGGCAGAATACCTAGATTTTCAAGTTTTTTTTTTGTTCATGTGTGGAATTTTGTATCTATTCCCTCCTTCTGCCTTGAGTATTTTGATCATGCATCTCTGTAGAGTGACCCATATGTACTTATTGACTTCTGGCTTGAATGTGTTGTATGACTCAATAACCTTCTCAACTAGTTCATCAACATTTTTAGTGAAAGATTGATATTGTAAGGACTGGATAGACCTGAAATGACCTAAATCCAACACATTTAGATCAGGGGATTGAGCTGGTTGGAACAAAAAATGAATATTAAACCCATTGGATGTTGTTGCTGCAACAAACTCCTCATCTCTTGGTATTTGATGTGGCCTTGCATTGTCCCATTGTATGACAACATTCTTGGGCAGACTTTCAGGCCATTTTTCCTTGATTGCTGGTATTACTTTGTTGAGTAACATGTCCCTTATGACCTCCCTGTTTACATTCTGAGGGCCCTTATGACCATTGTACCTGCTGCCCTGTTCTTGCTTGATTTCTTTGCTCTGTCTTGGACTGTGAATGGGAATATCCCATACTTTCCATCATGTAGTAGTTCACCATTTATGTCATACAATGGCTTACCAATAATGGCCATGAACATTGCCTTTAACTTGAATCTTCTTGACTGTTGTGCCATGTATGGGTCCTCTTCACTTGGTAGGAGGTAAAACCTTCTTTTGTCAGGGTTCAAGTAGAACCATTTCTCATCTATGTGAATGGAATAACTCATGTCTTCAAAACTGGGATCCTGATTTCCTTCCACAGGGTTTATATGACTTAAAACCCACTTCATTCTAGCTATCTTGTGATCTGATGTGAGTGCTGGTTTGCAACTTGTTGTGTGTGTTCTCAAACTCCCCTTTTTCTTCAAGTAGTGCAAAGTCACATGTGAAATGTTGAGTGCTGCTGCATATGACCTCTCTGACCGCCTTAAATACAGAGGAACTAATTGCAAGAATTCATCTGTGAATTCCCTTGGCTTTGGACCAGTTTTGCCATACTTTTTTGTCCTGACATCAATCATATTCCCTTCTTCCATCTGTTGTTTTATGTCTGTGAATATTCTTGTGATTGTTGATTTATGCACTCTGAATTGTGTGGAAAGTTGCATTTTGTATCCTCTTGGCAAAGTTCCATCTTGCATCTTCACCAACATTGCATCAACAATCTCTCTTCTTTGATACATGGTGAGTTGTTTTATGTTGGTTGTAGTTGCTGCATGATTCTGTCCTTGTTGTTGATCTTGATCTTGATGCATGGTCTCTTGGTGACCTTGAAAATTTGTGTCTTGAGTCCCTTCTGTAGACTGTTCTTTATGTTGCTCATTTCTGTCTTGAGTCCCTTATGTAGACTGTTCTTCATGTTGCATGTTTTCATTGTCAGAATCATAGTACTCTATGTCTTCATCTTGAATTTGTTCTTCCTCTTCAAAATAAATTTCTGCCATGAGTTCCTCTGTCAGCAATTCATCGATATCAAACTGCTGAGATTCATCGAAATCTGCCATTTTTTTTGGGGTCCCTTCCTTTTTCAGGTTGTTGAAGATGTTGTAGGGGTGGCAGATGAAGTTTTTTGGCAAGATAAAGCTGCCCTACACTTTTGTGTACATAGAGAACGAGCAACAACACTCTTGGTTATGGTGGATTCCTCTGTGCAGTACTAATGTGCCCTTTGCTGTAATTTTTTGGGTTAATGGGGGCTAATTTCTGAAATTAGGGTCTAACTTTTGGGATAAACATTTGGTTGTAATGTTTAAACTTTGATGATGGCTGACTGTATTTAATGCTTTGAAATATCAAAGCTTGGATGACAATGGGGGCTTCCTTTCATAAGCCTCTTAAATGCTCTGATTTTTTATCTATTTAAAGAATTGAATGCTTAGTTTTTTTTAAAAGGTGGAGGGAATTTAAAACCCTCCCAAATTTTCAAAATGTTTGAAATTTTGACAAAAAAAGAGAGGGAATATGATTTCCTACCAAGGGAATCAGATTTTCCCACTAAAGCACATGGGGGGACCATTTTTTCTCTCTCCTCCAAATTTAATTAATTCCATCTAACTACACCTTAATCAATGCCCTCCATTTTTTGCATTGGCAACCGTAAACTATCTCAAAGTTGCACAAAACAATTAACGGAGGTAGTATATATATATATATATATATATATATATATATATATATATATATATATATATATATATATATATATATATATATATATATATATATATATATATATATATATATATATCTTCTGTCACATTCATTACTTTTCAATAAACTATTAACCCTACTATCTTTCTTTTACAATTTTTTAATACTCCAACTACCCCACTTAAGGCCTGTTCACATTAACTTAATTTCAATTCAGTTTATTTCAGTTCAGCTCTAATCAGTTCAGTTCAGCTCCAATCAGTTTAGTTTAGTACAACTCTTAATATTTCTCTCTCATAAAATATTCATTTCAGCTTAATTCAGTTCAGTTTAGTTTAGCTCTAATCAGTTCAATTTAGTTTAGTTCAGCTCCAATCAGTTCAGTTTAGTTCAGCTCAATTTAGTAAATATGAACAAGCCCTTACCTCTTATTTTATTTAAGTTAATTAAATTGCCTAAAATTATATGTTGATCAAGCTGTAACACTTCAAAAAAAACAAGGAGGGAGTACATCCAAATAGGCCTAACGTATCCGCATAACACAATGAAATAACTGTTGGTTACTCGTAATCTCGAATTACGCAAACAACAATTAATGTTCTCTTGCTTGCTTTATTCATTCTCAACGTTACTTCTCACAAGTCAGTAGTCACTGCTACTACTCACCACTCCCCTGTTCTTCTTCCTCAACCTCTCTCCTCCCTTCAAACTTTTCCGCCTTTCGAATATATTCTCCCGCAATTTCGCAAACAATTCATCTTTTTCTTTTTATCATCTGTTCAACTTCCAAATCCAACTTCAAAAATACCTTCACTTATAATCTAATAAATTCCAGAAAAAAACCAAACAAATTCTCACAAAAATGGGTAGTGGAAAGCATCGATGGAAAATCTCAATCTACAGATCAACATCAACACCAACCAAACACGAAATCCGACCAGAAAGACCCCCAAATGAGTTCATCTGCCCGATTTCTGGGTCACTCATGGCTGACCCGGTTATCGTCTCAACGGGTCAAACATTTGAGCGAGCTTGTGTTACCGCCTGCAAAAATCTAGGGTTTACACCCACTCTAAATGACGGTTCTATCCCCGATTTCTCCATGGTTATCCCCAATTTAGCTCTCAAAACCTCCATTTTCAACTGGGCTAAGCTTTCTCTCTCCTTTCCACCAAAACCCCTCGAACTCGCCGATGCTCTGAAACTTCTAGAATCGTTAATGGCGGAAACAAAGCAAAATGGGGAGATTTCGGGTGAGTTGTTACGGAGAGTTGATGAGAACCCGGGTTCTAATCTTCTAGAACACTCTGAGAGTGAATTAACTCGGAGGCAAACTCGGTTCGACTCGGGTGAATCGCTTTCGGGGTCTTTTAGAAGGACGCCGTTCGTGCTCGCGACTCGGCCCAGTTGCTACTCTTCTTGCTCATCGAGCTCTGAGTTTGATTTAACAGAGTCTGGTTCGTGCGTTGATGAGGGATACGTATCAAAGCTTAGGAGTCAGCACGTATATGAACAAGAGGAAGGTTTGGTTGCGTTGAGGAAGACTACTAGAAGTAGTGTGGAATCTCGTGTTAGTCTGTGTACTCCGCGGCTTCTGTCTGCTCTTCGCTCGTTGATCACTTCAAAGTATACTGACATTCAGGTAAGTGAAGTATATATATATGTACGGTCTCGAATTGATTGTCATGTTGATATATTGATTTAAATTAGTAATGCGACAACTAAACCTGGACAGATTACTTGAAATTATGATTTTTCATTGAATTTTCAGTATTGTGTTATTTAGTGAGTTGAAAATGTATGTTGGTCAATGTTGAGATTTTTCAATATTTTTGTAGTCAAAATCTTTTATAATCATTTATGTCTACTATTCAAGGTGACATATTCTTTAGTTAATTTTCGAGATTAACATCTATATATATGAAGATTATGTTGCTTTTATACATAAAAACTATGACTATGTGGGCAGCTAACATAAAAACAATGATTTTGTGGGCATTGACGTAAAAACTATAATTGTATATCAAGTATAGCACAAATGTATATTTTTGAATAATATGATCACTTTTTCTGAGTTAAAAGGAAAAAAAAAATAAAAAAAATCTAGTTCTATAACGAAAATGCCACTTGATTTGCGCTTGATACAGGATTAATTGGACAATTCTGCTCTTGACTCATAATAATTAGGATTTCTACGTTGATCTTGAATAGTTGTTTTTGCAACCCAGTCATTTCATAATTGCTCTAAAGGAGTTGTCAATGAACATGGTAATGGTGTATTCATTCTATTATTCTTTCCATCAATTGATTTATGTATGGGTAAATCATGATCCAGTTTCGTTTTATGGGAGCAAATTTGTTACAAATTTACAATATATGTTAAATTTATACTAAAAGAAGAGTACTTGAGTTTTGTTTGTCATATGTCCTAGTAATGAAGTGGAAGAATTCAAGACTGGTTACTGGCAGTTTGTTATATAATTGTATAAATTCTTTGGGTGGTTATTGTTATTGAGATTGCCTGGGTGTTGTACTTCAGCATGAGTGACAATATATAGAAATAATCCTTTTACAAAGCATTATTGATTGGGATGTAGCCAAGTAGATAGTAAAATCATTAAGTTATGACAATTTTTATGATTAGAAGTTTAGAACCAGACCTGATGTCTGAGCATTTTGCCTTTTAGTATAAGATGGCATTTCCTTTGGCCTTGAGTGAAAGCTACAAATTTGGGGTTTTGTAAGCAGTTAGGTAAAATAGAAAAAAACTTCTGCCCTTGCCCACATCGAATGTGTGCATGCAGGACAGTTTGTGTTGTGCCCATTTTTTCAGACTTTCTACGAGAAATGATTATATTTTTTAACTAGTTTATCTAATCTTGTAATATAGTGAGTATGCTGTTGATTATTGCAAGTTTGATTGTTTGTAATAGAAATTTTGTATAAATAATGCTATAAACTTTGCTACTTCGTATAATTTCTCACTTCACCAAATTTTTTAGGTGAACTCGGTAGCAATATTGGTCAATTTGTCCCTAGAAAAAGTTAACAAAGTAAAGATTGTAAGAGCTGGATTTGTTCCCCCTCTGATTGATGTGTTAAGGGGGAGATGCCCCGAGGCCCAAGAACATGCTTCTGGTGCACTCTTTAGCTTAGCCCTTGATGATGGAAATAAAACTGCAATAGGAGTTCTTGGTGCATTACAACCATTGGTTCATATGTTGATGAGATCAGAGAGTGAACGAGCGAGGCATGATGCGGCTTTGGCTTTGTACCATCTCTCATTGGTCCAGAGCAACCGATTAAAACTGGTCAAATTTGGGTCAGTTCAACTACTACTTGGCATGGTAAAGTTGGGTCAAATGCCAGGGCGTGCCTTAATAATATTATGCAACTTGGGGGCTTGTAACGAGGGAAGGGCTGCTATGCTAGATGCTGGTGCAGTTGAGTTCTTGATAGAGTTGCTAAGGAAGGGTGAATTTGACTCAGAGTCAACTCAGGAGAGCTGTGTTGCTGCACTATATGCATTGGGTCATGGAGGGGGTTTGAGATTCCGAGGATTGGCTAAGGTGGCTGGGGCAATGGACGTGCTTAAGGACGTTATTGAAAAGAGTAATCGTGAACGGGCAAAGGAAAAGGCAAGACGGATTATCGAGCTGTTAAAAGCAAAGGAGGAAGAGGAAGAAGAAGTCGACTGGGAGAAAGTGCTGGAGACAGGGTTCCAAAGTCGAGCCATTACTCGACCAGGAGGCCAATCATGCAGGAATTCTACCGAGTTTTGACTGCTTTCTTGTTCTGGTTGTGTTTATATTTTGGGGGTGCTTTTAAATCCTGCAGGGTGTTTTGGCTATCTTGACATTATTAAATTCTAAGGTGTAAATAATGGTTAAATTAAAATCAGTACAGAAATGGAGTTCAGATATTGGTTTCATGAATCACGAGGCGTGTTTTATGTAAATTAAATTAAATTAAATTAAATGGTCGTTAATGACCCTGTTTTTGATTCTTTCCTTAGCTATCTTAAGGTTTCTGAACTCCAGAAATTTCTACTTTGAATTGGCTGTCAACTTTTTAGTTTGTAATACAGCTCAATTAGCAGGGAAAC